AGCACGCGTCTGAGAAGTAATTAGTTGACTGTATAGACTACATGGCCGATCACACTGGCCGCGCTGTCTAAGGCATGAAATGTCTCCGCCCGCTCGAACAATGGGATCATTGGTTCGAACCTCTGCGTTAGGTTGTAGGTGGGTAGGTAGGTCAGTGGGTGGGTAGGAGGGTAAATAAGTGGGTGGGTACGTAGGTAGGTGGGTGGGTGGATAGGTAGTTAGGTGGGTAGGTGAGTAGGTAGGTGTGTGGGAAGGTAGGTATGTAGGTAGACGGGTAAGTAGGTGGGTGGTTGGGTAGGTAGGTAGTACTAGCGAAATCCAGAAATACATAGATGTAGGGAGATACGTCATTAAGGTGTCATCAGGCTCGAAATAGATCTCAGTGACGGGCTTTTGTGACGCCGTAATGAACTTTTAGAGTCCATGAAAGTCGGGGAATTTCATGATCAGCTGAATTATATTAGGTCTTAGAGAACTAAATTCATGAGGGTACATTTGAACTGTTTGAACAAGATGTGTGGAGAAAATGAATACGGTTTGTGAAGTGAAGTGTTTGAGCACTCTCCGCAGTGCTCTTTTTCCTGTGGCGCTACAGCCCCAATTTGGGCCTAGGCCTACCTCCATGAAACTCTCCGTTTCACTTCGGTTTACTAGATCTTACACATACGGTAGAACTCCTTGGGCGGGTGATCAGCTCGTCGCAAGGCCTCTACCTGTAGACAAACACAGAAAAACGCACACAAACATCCATGCCCTGAGTGGGATTGGAACCCACGATCCCGGCTTCCGAGCGAGCGAAGACAGTGCATGCCTTAGACTGCTCGGCTACCGTGACCGGCCCGCAGTGCTCTTAGTGCACTTAAATGGAAGGGGAAGAAGAGGGATCAAGCATATATGAAGGCCGGACAAACAGTAAACGTATGCAATATTTTGGTTAGAACCTGCGACCCACTACTCTGAATATTGTTTCAATGTTTTCTTATTCGCTGTCTTAAAACATGCCGCAGCAGCTCTCGTGTCTTCTTCTAGTTCGGTGCCCCAGTTTATGTAACGCCATTTGCTTTTCTTTATGAATCACGGGTTGTGGAATTGTACGGTTTGTGATTTGCGAATTCGTACATGTATACACAGAAGCTTTTGTGGCGTTTCAAGTTGTTATTCCAGCAATTTGTCTGGAAAGACTGACACAAATTTTCAATCGGGATAGATGGCGTACGGCTAGAAAATCGAACCGAGGACTTTCGGAATATAAAGTTGAAGTGCCAGTCACTACGTCGATACATTTTGTCTCTCTCACATCCCTCTAAATTATATTTCATAAGAAAAGTAACATCTTCTAGAATATAAAGCTCTGTATAGTCCTTTGAAAGTCAACAGACGTTTTGGAGGAAAATGTCGCTTCCAACTTCAGGCTCGAAGAATAAACCAAGCAAGAAATCAACATGAAAAAATAACAAGCAAGGAAGATATATTCCTCCGAAACGTCGGTTGACTTCAGCGGACTACATGGCGTTATATCTCAGAAGACAGAAATCTTTATAACCACCGCTGTGGGAACCACAAATCCTGTGTGATTCGTAAGCATTATACCTGTGTAGTTGATAAAGACCGCTTCCGTGGTCTAGTGATCAAGAGTTCCTGCCTACAAATCCAGTTGTCCGAGTTCGATTCTCGGCGCTACCAGATTTTGTGAGAAGTAGTGGGTCTGGAATGGGGTCCACTCAGCTTCTTGAGGATAATTGATGAGCTATTTCAGGGAAGTAACGGCTCCGGTCTAGAAAGCCGAAATTAACGGCCGTGGGAATTCGTTGTACTGACCACGCGACACCCTCTATCCACCAAAGTTGACACTAATTTCGCCGACAAGCGGCGGTCGCTCGGTCGGTACAGTTCGCTTGCGGACTCAAGTCACGGGGTTTGTTTTGTAGTTGATAAAACGTTATTGAGTAAAGTATGTAGTTACTGTTTATGTAACGACGCTGTTAGTTTCTCAGTTACGTAGCGTCGAATATTTTTTTTCTCATGGGGTGAGACTGAGTCCACTTGGTACTGCAGCCACTGTTTGGCGTACTGTATCAGCCCCGGATGATAGATGATGATTGTGGAGCAATCGGTGTAATGCGAATTGGCAGGGGAAACCGAAGTACTCGGAGAAAACCTGCCCCCGGCCCACTTTGTCCACCAGAAATTCCATATGAATATGATTCACCTGGTATGAATAAAGGATGAACAAATTAAGACTGAATAGGCTAATTAGCGAACAGTGAATAGCGAAGGGTTCGGAAGGAGGCAACCGTTCCCTAATTAAATACAGTACCCCGGAATATCCCTGAGGAGCTTCATAACTTGTATCTTCTCCAAGTATAATTAGAATGATCAAGTCAAGGAGGATGGGGTGGGCAGGGCATGTAGAACGAATGGGGCGAGAAGAGGAATGCATATAGGATGTTGGTGGGAAAGCCAGAAGGGAAGATACCACTACGAAGACCAAGGCATAGGTCGGTGGACAGTATTAAAATGGATCTTAGATGGATAGAATGGGATGGTATTGATTGGATTGATCTGGCTCAGGACAGGGACAAATGGAGGGCTCTTGTGAACATGGCAGTGAATCTTCGGGTTCAATAAAATGCTGGAAAATCCTTGAGTAATTGCAGAATAGGCGGTTCTTCAAGAAGGGCTCAGCTCCATGAGTGAGTGAGTAAGTACATACCCCGGAATTTCCCACCGAGATTGAAAAAACCACGAAAATTCTTTGTTAGAATTGGCTGTCACTGGACAGAGATTTTAACCCAGGATCTCACTAATACGACCACGATATTCGATATTATTAAACGAAAGAGCGAACGAACCTTGAAATTTAACACGGTCAGTTTCTTTCCGTTTTATTTGTAATACACTCCTTTTTTTACTGGGCTCTGAACTGTTTCTGAACTGATAGATTGCCTCTAAATAAACTGCCGGCAACTTGGAACTGACGTCATACGAACCACTAATAGTGTAACTTTTGACTACTAGTGTACACAAGAAGAATAATGTCTCCGACCACAGAGGGCTACGACCAATCAACTTTAAAATTAAACTGAAGACAATATCCTGCTTTGCTCTGTAGTAACTTCAGCTGACGTCAGCGTAACCATAAGTCAAAGCTGGCGCTATACATCAAACAGACGTGACCACTGATGCCCTGTTTTTATGCCTCTGTTCAGACCGAGTCAACACACACCGCAGCCCCTGTCGTAATTTCGAGAAAAGTTTGTTGAATTCTCACCAAGACTCCCGTCCGGTTGAAAGCTGTATGGTAACGTTCCAATTCTGGGTTCCGTGCCACGAGTTTATGTCTGTATTATGCAGTTGGTTCTATTTGATGGTTAAATATGTTGGTTTGTCTGCTGTGACTGCCATTTTGGGTATAGGAAAGGTTACCTACTTTGAATTTAAACTTCTACACGTGTTCGTTTTATTTATATTCTGTTGTCTTGTCAAAGTTGTTAAAGGTCGATAGATTGCGCCCAGAGAAATGATTTATGTATGCTGTAACATCCATGTACGAGTACTTCTTAGTTCACTGGGTTCAGGTTCAATTTTTAATTGAGCTCTGGTCGGAACGTTTTGCACTGCAATAGGTGCTGTGCGGCCTTAAGAACAATTTGTTACTTCTTCAAAAGGCCGCGCCATAGCTCAAGCGGTTAGTCGCTGCCTTCCCATCTCGGCGGCCCGGGTTGGATCCCGGGTCTGGTCAAGTGGGATTTGTGGTGGACAAAGTGGCACTGGCGCAGGTTTTCTCCGTGTATTTATTTCGGTTTCCGCTGCCAATCTTCATTCCACCAACTGATATTGATCCCTTGGCAACGTGAAGATAATCACTCAAGGGTTTTAATAATTTTGGAGTAGTCGTTTGATTTTAAGGGAAAAGTAATTTAAATATTGTTTTGTAGTAAGAATAATGTATCACAAATAAAAAAGGTAAATTATCCGTGTAACGGGCCGTGAAGGCCCGTAGGGTTGTGAGACGTCGAGTCTCCCATATTTTCTTTAGATAATCGGCTCACAGATGGCAGTAAGGTTGTCAGCGTTACGCGCCGGCCGCCCTTTACCCCCTCCCCCCAGGAAGATTCCTGGTACTCATTTCTCTTAAGGTGGGAATACACGAGCGCGCCGCGGCTGTAACGCGGCATTACAAGTGATGAGCGGAGTGATTTGGTGCACCTCGAACAAGCGACGCGCACTCTACGAACCATCTGAATGGGGCGCGCAAGCCGCGAGCACCTCAGTTCCATTCTGTCTTCGCCGTCCACACGACCATGGAAGACAAGGAAGCGTCACTTTTTTTGTTCTTTTTATAATAATCATTTTCTCTGGGATTCCACAGTACAGGGGATGATTTGTATGCCTCTATGAGCCCAAAAATATCTTCTTCTGACCACTCCATATTTGAGGCGTGGCGCTTCACGAGACAAATGGCAACCGAACCCGACCACAGTGCGGCAACGAATCCCTTTGTGTTCGTCAGAAAAACCGACAGGAACCGGATCGCTGCGCGGCATTTGAGGCGTCCGCTGCACGTGTTCAAAATCACGTGCACACGAGCGAATAAGTCGCGAATCCCTTTCGATCTGTGTTGCATTACAGCAGCGGCGCGCTCGTGTATTCCCACCTTTAGAGGCTGAGCGGACCCCTGGGCCTTAGTGCGGCTGGAAGGATTAAATTAAAAAAAAAAAAAACACTTCTTCCGGAATCGAACACGCGACTTTCCAGCTTGTAGCATACTGCCTCAACCAAATACTCTTACCGCGTGCCCCATGTATAACGAATATATGGATTAAATATTTTCGCTACTTTAGAATAGGATGACAACGTGTTTGTACAATGCACCATATTTGCCACTAAACACAGTTTTAACAGCTCTCGTAGATGACCCCTTATTTAAAGTGTAATGAGATAATGAAATAATTTTTTTTATTCGAGTAATCCGTTACATATCTCTGACATTGTTACAGGCAAAATTGGAGACGAAGGCTCTGAAAGCGAAGAGGCCTGGGTTCACGGATGACCGCTACAATGAAACTTCCTACTACATTGAAAATGGTGAGTTTCCAGTTGATTATGTTAATTAAATGCATTCCTAGTGATAGTTATTTTGTGTTGCGTAAATATATTCCACTTGTTTTATCGCTATAATCAGTCTTCTTTTAATTACTTCCAAAGAGAATGTTGAAACGGGGAGTTACAGGCTTTGAGGGGGTGTATTGCGTAAATGAGCAAGGAAGTTGAAGTGAGCATTTGCCCAGAAAGCAATTCCTCCTTGGATATGGGTGATGTTCATGTGATTTCAGCAGCAGATGCTCTGTGTGGCTCCCATGCAGTTCAGCAAAACTTTCAGCTCTTCGCACAGAAGTGCGCACTCTGTCTAAAAGTCCTGGTTTCGCTCGACTCTCCTGACATTCTCTTCTCGTTGCTATAATACCTCTTAAGTCATTGATCAGTACTCCAAAGTCTTCGGGTGTCTTCACATCCAAAAGTTCAGAGGATTAAGATGAGGAGATAGTACAGGCCAGTTGACTGGACCTCCGTGTCCTGTCCACTGTTCACTGAAAGTCTGAATCGGACGCTGTCTGACAGTGCAGAGAAAATGAGGGGGTGCCCAGAGACACAAGTTCCAAGAGTACAACTTAAATACTTACCTACTTACTTACTTACTTACTTACTTACCTATGGAGCTGAGCCCTTCTTGAGGAGCCGCCTATTCTGCAGCTACTCAAAAATTTCCCAGCATTTTATGGAACCAGAAGATTCATTACCGTGTTCACAAGAGCCCTCCATTGGTCCTTATCTTGAGCCAGATCTATCCAATCCGTACCATCCTATCCTATCTCTCTATGATCCATTTTAATGTTGTCCACCCATCTATGTCTTGGTCTTCCCAGTGGTTGTTACGAAAATTTACAACTTGCCTCTTTCGGGACAACGGTTCCTAAAAAGAGTTGATCACATAAGATGCCCACCCAGACAGTGACTCGCCCATATCCCAGCGGGCATTTGTTCCTGGACTTGTGTTTACTGGGATATTTTTGCGAGTTGAGTACTATACCCCATTAAAGCCTGTAACCGTGTATGCACCTACGAATCCACGATACAGGGACTCATAGTTCAGCTGTTGTCCAGAAGGACCTTCGGTGATAGCAGTGAGCGCTCGGAAGATGCTGTTGAATTGCTGAGTATGAAGCCAGACACACAAGTTGTTATCGTCTCCTAGACTGTGCAGTGTAAAGCTTTCAGGTGATACTTTCTCCGGGCATCTTTAGATGATGATAAAAGTAAAAGTAAGAAGGTGTCTATGCTTGCACCATGCCATGAAGGCGTATGAGGGGGGGGTGAACTCGCCCCTTGATGGATGTGAGTGATCACCTTCCTGCTCCGGCTGTATTATCTCTGAGGAATCAGTCCTCTATGCCCATTAGATAGACAACTGGGTGGACGTCAGTGCCAGTATGGGCGCTCTGGAAAAGAGAATAGAATTTTGCTTCTGCCCGGAATCAAGACCCGATACTGCAGCTGTCTAGTCCGTAGCCTACACGCTGTATTGACCGAACGATTCCGGCGCTAAAAGTTCTTTATTAATAATATAATATCAATTTTTATTATTAAAGGTATGTAGCGTAGTTGGTTGAGGCACTATGCTACAAGCCGGAAGGTCACGGATTCAAATCCTGATGAGGTCATTGGATTTTTTTTCAATTCACGTAATCCTTCCAGCCGCACTATGGCCCTGGTTTCGACTCAGCCTCTAACAGAAGTGAGTACCAGGAATATTATTGGAATATTCTTGGGGGTAAAGGGTGGCCGGCGCGTAGGGCTGACAACCTTGCCGCCATCTCCGTATATTATCCGATTGTCTAGAAAATGTGGGAACCTCAACATCTCACAACCCTATGGGCCTCCACGGCCTGTTACAGGGATACCTTTACTGTTTTACTTTTTTACTTTTATTAAAAGCATGTGTTCATTAACGGACTGACTCAACAGTTTGTGGTGGTCAATAGATGCGATATCCAATCCGAGACACACTGTAACACGTGACAGTATTTTAAACAGCTCTGCGTGCGGGTAACATTCAAAGAAATATTTCAGATTCACTAGTGCGACATTTGCAAAAGATTTGCAACAAAACAAAATTGCGCAATTAACATCAAGAACAATGTTATGAGGGAAACAAAAATATACATTTGGTAAACCGGTTTACTTCAGTGGAGTACACATATAACTACTACTTCAAAGTCTGCAATGGTCATTGTGATCAAACACGAAAAGTGATACACAAGTAATACTGTCACATGCAGGGCGTGTAACTTAAAAAAAAATAATGGATATTACTAATCCCGTATGGAGGAGGGTCGAATACTTCCCCGTAGCTCTGCGTGTCGTAGGTGGCGATGAAAATGTAAGTCTCTAATCTGAGACAGTAAAGTATGGTCGCCAGTCCCACGGGACTCTGACCCGATAATGATTGCGCTGGCGAGGACCAGCAGTAATTGTAAACGACAGACCCGTCCTCTCACCAGAGAGAGCGCCCCACATCAACAAACCCGCAGCTGTCTGACAGTAATAAAAATCTGGTCATAAACCCCAAATGGGTGCTTTATTCCAAGACTGACTGGCCGACTGACTCGGTCGTAATATAAGACTCGACTCAACATGGGTTCTCCAGTGATTGAGGTTAGCTCTTAGTAAAGGACTCAAAAGAGTTGGTATCTCCCACACCCTGCCCTCCCTTCGCCTGAGGACGGAAACATCTAGTTTCCGAAACGTCGTGTTCTCTAGTTTTTAGAATATCGGACAATGGACAAAGTCCAGAAACCCGGTAACTCTGAGCTTGCAGATATGTCCCAGTGGTTTTCATTCATTGCTTGCTTTGATATTTTATGTTTCCGTGTTTACTTTTTGTGTTGTGTTTTTCTTTTCAATTTATTTGGTAGTCTTCAGTGTTACCGATAATGTTAATTACTCTTAACGCTTCAGGCCTTGTAGCCTCATCCAATTGAGAATTAACTTCTGAAACTATTAATGTGGTAGGTCTTCTCGGAAGAGGTATTGGCCCATTGCAAAGGACTCAAGACAGACACAGAAAAGACGCCGACATATGTCCGTGAACCGAGGAGGATTCGAACCAACAATCCCAGTATTCGAGTGGTCAGAAAAACAGTACGAGGCTTAAAACTACTCGGCCATTGGCAACGTCCTGATAATAAGCTGTTTGAAATGTTAATCATTTCAAATGGCTTGCAGCACCCAGTTAAATCGCAGAAGCGGTGCCCCGTGACCCAGGCGTCAATAATACTTCTCAGAGTTTCTTTTGCTGTGACGTGTCTTGTTTCTGATAAAGTTCTTTTCCCGAAAGTTCTCGTAATAATTCAATTTTATGTGTGTAAACTTCTAATTTCCTTCCCGGGTCGCTTCGATGGTCTGTGATAATGTACAAGTGCTTGAAGTGTGATGGTTATGTCGATAATTTTATTGTGTAACGCAGATTTTACGTTTGAACGCCTGTGCCGTACATTTGCAGTGATTTGTTGTCTGGCAACAGAGATGTCCCCTTTAAATTTATTTGCACTGTTCTTTAACGTATATGTGTAGAATTGCAATAATCATATGAATAACGAGGAACTCTAAAACAAAATTTATGAAGGTAATTGGGGTTGGAGGGATCCGAATCATTTTTCTTCTTCCCCAGGAAAGATTTGCACATATTTTTTATGGATTTGTTCTCGAAGGTTCTTCCGCTAATTTTGTTGAAAGTTACAAATGAATTTACTTCCTTTTTCCCTCACAAATAGACCACTTCTGTGGTCGAGTGGTGAGAGTTCCGGGCTACAGATCCAGAGGTCACGAGTTCGATTCCCTGCGCTACCAATTTTTTTTTTCTGGAAAGTAGTGGGTCTGGAACGGGGTCCACTCAGTCTCGTGAGGATAAATGAGGAGCTACTTGAATGGAAACGTAGCGGCTCCGGTCTATAAAACAGTAATTAATGGCCGTGGGGATTTATTGCCCTGACCACGCGACACTCTCTATCCTCTAAAGTTGGCACTCACTTCGTCGACAAGCGGCGGACGCTCGGTCGGTATAATTCGCTTGCTGACTGCAGGCAACGGAGTTTATTTTTGTTTGTTGTTCCTGACAAACAAACAAATGTTGTACGAGTTAAGCATTTACTGCAGTCACAAATAAACTGAATCCTAACTATAGTTTAACACAAAATTGTTGAATCACGTAATCCAGCACTCATCGGTTTACCAGCGATGCCAATTCTTGCATATAGAAACCTATCCCAATAGTTTTCAGAGAACTGTAGCCTACTTATCTGTGCAGAATCGCAAAGAACTCTTTTAAGAAATATATATTAAGTAAGATTTGAGGTTTTCATGGCGGTGATTATGAAGAATTCCGTCATCTGAGATGTGACTGCAACCACGTACTCAAGCTGGTTCCTCGCGGGTTTTTGTAACCTATGGAGACGATACCTTCCTCCGAAACGTCGGTTCACACAAGACCCACACAGCGCCACATCTCAGAAGACGGCATTCTTCAATATATACTAACTTTGTATTCGAGTCTACCTTCACACTCTCAATTCGATGTGGCCATATTACAGTGGCGCCATGTTTCTTACCTCTCTTGCAGTGTTTTTTTTTTTTATTTTTTATTTCCACCTTTTGTCTTTTTCATTTCGTACCAGATCCCACCCAGTTACTAGAGAGAACATTAAAAGCTGCGTGTGGCGTACAAGGAAGGTACATCGTAGGATAGTACGTTAGTCCCGTTGTGTTATGGCATGCTATCCTCCCTCCACACCCCGTGTGAGCACTGCTGTTGTACAACAGTCTAACTTTTATGGCCTGTGGCTAGCCAGGAATCAAGTCAGTCGGCGTTTCAGTTTGCGCGATAAGCTCTCATTACATTCAGATAGCAATGAAAATGTTTCTGTACGATGGTGGTGATATTCAAAGTTTAATTTACTTACGCAGATAACGGATATTCCGTATGCTGTTGCGTGTTCGTGGGCAATTCTTCTGAAGACACGAAAAACATT